GTTAGATTTTGGGAATTGATTTTCATCTGTCAGATTTTAGGAAATAAGATCTTGAAGAGAAAAATTGAAGATAAAGTAGTTAATTTTGTAATTTTGAAGATAAAGTAGTTAATTTTGTAATTTTTTATTTAAAAAAGTCAATTTGGTTGATTTTTAATTAAGTGGTAAATTTTTAATTTTTTTATTTAATAATATCAACTTTTTATTTTTTTAATTTAAAAATATTAACTTTACATTTTTATACTTAAAACTAATTAGATGATGATACTAATGTGTCAAATAACTTTTTTTAACTATTTAATTAAGTTTAAATAAAAAATGAAATGAATATTTTTAATAAAAAATTAAAATTTTACTATTTTATTTAGATACCAACAAGATTCATGTCCTTACATAAAAAGAATGATAAAATTCATATATGCATCATTTCTCCAAAAATAACAGCAAAACAGGAGAAAAATATAAGCTCATGTTTGGATTGAGGAGTTGAGGTGGTAGGAGAGGAGAGTGAAGGAGAAGCCTTTCTCTTATTATTATTATTATTATTATTGTAAATAAAGTTATTAAGGGAAGGGACAGAGGGCAGATAGAGTGAGAACTAGCTTCCTCTAAATCCTTATTTATTATTTTTTTAATTGGAAAGGATTAAGAGAAATTTAATTTTCTTCTATTTTATTTTTTTACGTTTTTTCTTTAAAAAAAGGGTAACAAAATTTTCTATTTTAATTTTACTTTTTTTTTTTTGAATAAAATGTCAAGAGTGAGATTCGAACTTCAAATTTAGTAGGGGAAGGGAGGATTGCACTTTGAAGGTGAATCGAAGGGTAGGTGCTATTTTAATTTTACTTTTAATATATAAATTTATATAATTTTTATTAATTTTATAATTAAATTTAATATATTTAATTAAATAAAAAATATATAATCTTTCACACCCTCTCTTCTTAATTTATTCAAACAAAATTAATATAACCCTTTCCCCTCCTTCCTTTTCCCTCTTTCTCCTTTCCGTCTCTTTCTTGAATGTTTGTTTATTAAACTTTAAAAAATAGCGTTGATGTGTTTTACTTCTTAAAAGTTAAGAAAGAAATTATTTTAAAATTACATCATTTTATTAAATTTTTATTAAAAAAATTAAAATATTTTATTTTTAAACTATAAATTAAAATTTATTTTATTCTTTTATATAATATTTTATTATAATTACATAATTTTAAAATAAATTTTCACATAAATTTTTAGAAGATATTACGGATAAATAGTAATCCCTAAACTTTAATAAAACAAACACCGTTAACAAAATTATTTATGGGTCAACCCAAAAAGGAAGCAACGGGTGGGCAAAACCCACGGATGTTTGGAGCAGACACAGAGGGAACGTAGGTTTTAGGAGGGTTTAACTTTAATGGCGGCTAGCCGTACCCGCATCCTTCTCCTTTCTCTCTTAACTAAATCTTACAGTTCTTCGATCTCTTCATCGATCTTTGCCTCACTTCTTTAGATTATCCTGGAGCCTCTCTCCTCTCCTCTTTCATCTCCAAGTTTGACGACCTATTGCTACGTGCAACAACTTGGTTCTACCATGTGGAGGACCTTCGCCAGAAGGGTTACAGACCGGAAGCTTAAATTTGCCTCTGAGCCCCACATTGGCTCCGTTTCTCGGGACTTGAATTTTCTCGAGAAAACCAGACCTGTTGAGACCCAGATCGTAGCAACCAATCCATGCCCGCAACTGGGTTTTCAGCAAAACTGTGTCTTGTATTCCCAAAAAGATGGATTGGGTAGATTCAATTTGTCTCAGTCAAGCAGCCCTTTTGGTGTTTCTGGGTTATTCAATCAGGTGAAGGGCTATGCAAGTACTGCGGAGGCTACTATTTCGACTGAGGAGGACTTATCTGGGTCTGAGGAAACCCATGAATTAATGGAAGAGATGAGCAGAGCGGAGAAGATGGAGCCGGACTTGAAGCAGCCAAAGAAAATGAATGTAGGTATGGGGATAGGGAAGTACAAAATGCTAAGGAGGAGGCAAATAAAGATCGAGACTGAGGCATGGGAACAGGCAGCAAAAGAGTATCAGGAATTGCTAATGGATATGTGCGAGCAAAAGCTTGCACCCAATTTGCCATACGTAAAATCATTGTTCCTTGGTTGGTTTGAGCCTTTAAGGGATGCTATTTCCGCTGACCAAGAACGATGCAAGGAAATAGCCTATAAGAATAAGTTGTCTCATGCCCCCTATTTTAATGACTTGCAAGCGGATATGATGGCAGTGATTACCATGCACAAGTTGATGGGGTTGTTGATGACGGGCAGTGGAGGAACTGGTGGTGTTAGGGTCGTCCAAGCTGCCAGCCAAATTGGTGAGGCCATTGAACATGAGGTGAGCAAAGTTAGTCCTTTTCAAGTTTATTGCTTTATCTTTTGTGGTTAGGTTGCTTTAGATTCAGTGAGTATGATTTTGCTCAGCAGTCATGATGTGATTTTGATGGATCTGTTGTTTAGTAGATTAAGCCAAATGAAGTTTGAGTCTTTTGTTGATTTTAATTATCCATCATGCCATGTATCCATGTTGGAGAATGCCATATGATGAATGATGTTAGAGGGATTGGCATGTTGATTGTGGTAGACTCGGTTATAGGGTTTCCTCTTCCTAGCTCTGCATATATCTGCTTCTTGGGACGATTGTAATCCCTTAGGAAACAATGGTCCGATTGGTCTGTTCAATCTGCAATCATTTTTTTCCCTCCTAGGATATGTCACTTTGGATATGGACTAGAAAGTTAAATCTGATTAGTAAAATTCTTTTATGCTCTATGCTACTGTTGTATCATTTTGCGGATTTATTTAGGATTTTGCAGGACTTTGGTTAATCCCTCATAAGTGAGAAACCAAAAGAATAAAATCAAGTCATTTTGGAGCAATCTTACACCTGATCTTTTTCTTATATAAAATAGGATAAGATGGAGTTTATTGATATCAAATAAACATGGGAATGCATCAAGAAAGAAATACAGGAAACATTAAGTGTAAATGCTTATTGATTAGAGCTTGTCAAGATAAAGCTGTTTGTTATATACAAATCATCTATGCTTGTATCAAAAAGAAAGACAACCGCTGTTTATGGCTAATGGTTTACCTGTAATTTCTACAATGTGGATCAGGCTAGAATACAGAGATTTTTAGAGAAGACAAAGAAGAAGAACACAACAAATAAAAAACCGGAGGATGAATCTGAAGCCTTGACCAGTGAAGAGGATAAACTGGAAAAACAAAAGGCAAGACTTAGGAAGAAAGTTACTCAGTTGATAAAGAAGCAAAAGGTGCAGCAAGTGAGGCAGATAGTAAAGGGACATGATGATTCAAAACCTTGGGGGCAGGACACACAAGTTAAGGTATGAAATGTGATGTCAGTTATAAAATCAAAATACATTCTGCTTTTGTTTTGCTCTTATTGTGATCTGCTGCTTGTACTTTACAGGTTGGATGCCGTTTAATTCAGTTGTTGATGGAAACTGCCTACATACAACCTCCACTTGATCAGCTAGGTGATGGTCCACTTGATATTCGCCCAGCATTTAAACATGCTCTGAGAACCATCACTAAAGACACAAGCGCACAGTATGAAAACTAAAACTCCCTTGAATTTGCTAGAAATCCCCTTCCCCATCTCATCTGTGCACATGTTTGCAGACACAGGCAAAAACAAGTATTTAACAATGTTGTGATTGTCTTTTACCAGTAAAATCAGCAGGAGATATGGTGTTATCGAATGTGACCCTCTTGTTCACAAGGGCCTTGAGAAAACTGTAAGTAGAAGAAACTACTAGTCTTGGAAAAAACTTTTATAACTTATCTCCTTTTGAATGTATATCTGTACTTTGATTTATGGAATGAAACTAATATCTGCTTGTTCAATCAGGCTAAGCACATGGTCATTCCTTACATGCCAATGCTAGTGCCTCCTCAAAACTGGACTGGGTATGCACATGAGACTTCCATATTTTCGTTTCTTTGTTTTGTGATTTTCTCAAGTTTTTCTGCAAAGTTCTCTGCTTGACTGTCTAGTTTGATCTCATCTTGCATTATCTTATTAAAAATCATAACACAAGAAAAGCAATGCCTCTGCTTGTTCTTGTTTATGAGGTTTTTAGATATGTGTACTCGTATGTACTTTAAGTTTAATTGGAAATAACTATCTGGATTTCACTCTTTGTGTGCATATTTACTGGGTTTATCTCTAGCAAGTTTCCTGATGTTTTGGTAGGTATGATCGAGGTGCATATTTATTTCTGCCATCATATGTCATGCGGACGCATGGAGCAAAACAACAGCGTGAAACAGTTAAAAGAACACCAAGGAAACAGTTGGAGCCTGTTTTTGAGGTTTGAAATCCTTGATTTATAAAACTTACTTCTTTTGTCTGCAGCATGAAAGATTCTTTACCATTGACATCCCTCCACTTTTTTAATTATTGTTCTTTTTTTTTTTTTCCTTTCTTTTTTGTTTTTAAAATGAATCAGGCCCTTGATACATTAGGAAATACCAAATGGAGGATAAATAAGAGGGTGCACAGTGTGATGGAAAGATTATGGGCTAGTGGAGAATGTATAGCTGGTTTGATCGACCGTGAAGATGTGAGTAATACTTAATTATGGAGAATAATTTGTATACTCTTGACTGTTGAACGTACCTACCTGTTCTGAAGGAGAGAAACTTACCTAGTTGTTGTGATCTTTGCAAGTTGAATATTAAGATCTGCAATTTTTCCACTAGTTTTTGTTAGCTGGTTTCCTTCATTTTCTCTTTATCAATCTTAACAGGTTCCTCTGCCTGAAAAACCAGACAACGAAGATGAAGCAGAAATCCGGAAGTGGAAGTGGAAACTTAAAGCTGCTAAAAAGGTGAACTCTGAGAGGCATTCACAGCGGTGTGATATTGAACTCAAGCTTAATGTAAGGAGCTGTTGTAATCAGCAATATCCACTTTCCTGTATTTCCTACAAGTGGGTGGTATATTAATTCTTTTCCATTGGGAACAGGTGGCTCGAAAAATGAAAGAAGAGGAAGGCTTTTACTACCCTCACAACCTTGATTTCCGAGGTCGTGCATATCCAATGCACCCATATCTAAACCATCTTGGTTCTGACATCTGTCGGGGTGTCCTGGAGTTTGCTGAGGGACGCCCTCTCGGGAAGTCAGGATTGCGCTGGTTGAAGATACATTTAGCAAATCTGTATGCTGGTGGTGTGGACAAGTTGTCGTCTGATGGTCGAGTAGCATTTACAGAGAACCATTTGGACGACGTCTTTGATTCAGCAGACAGGCCTCTTGAAGGAAGGCGCTGGTGGTTGGGAGCAGAGGACCCTTTTCAGTGCCTGGCAACATGTATAAATCTTGCAGAAGCATTGAGAAGCTCCTCCCCTGAGACTGCTATTTCACATATGCCAGTCCACCAGGTATTTCTACTATAGTGACATTGTGGTCCAGTTTTCATTCTATTCAATTTTCCTATGACCTACTCTTTGGTTACTGTTTCATTATTTTTCAAGGATGGTTCATGCAATGGTTTACAACACTATGCTGCCCTTGGAAGGGACAAGGTAATGCCCTTTCTCTTTGTTTATTCTCTCTCACAAAAGCCATACCTCTATTTGTTTTCTTTAGCCTTTAGATCATTTCTTTGTCCCCCAGTTGGGAGCAGCTGCAGTGAATCTTGTTGCAGGAGAGAAGCCTGCAGATGTCTATTCTGGTATAGCTGCCCGGTAGGCAATATTATTTCTTTCCTGCTCAAATCTCTCTCTGCAACACCACCAGAGGAGCAATAGGGGAATGTTTTAGTTTAGTTAATTGATTTTGCTGTTCTCTGCAGTGTTCTTGACATAATGCGGAAAGATGCAGAGAAAGATCCTGTCACAAATCCAAATGCATTCCATGCTAAGCTCTTAATCAATCAGGTTTCTTTCATTCCTTGTTTTTGTTGAACTGAAAAGGAGTAGAATTTACATAAAAAAATTATCCCATTTATTATTGGTCTTGGTAATATTTGAACATGTCATGCAACATGTTTTTTACTATTTCAATTTCAATCCTTAGGTGGGCAGGAAGTTAGTAAAGCAGACAGTGATGACATCAGTTTATGGTGTTACTTATATTGGTGCCCGTGACCAAATCAAGAGAAGGTTGAAGGAGCGTGGTGCCATTGCTGATGATTCGGAGCTGTTTGCTGCATCTTGCTATGCAGCAAGGGTAAGTGAATAAGACAGTAGTGTTTTTTAATTTTTATGACCATTTTTGCAGCAAGGTCTAAGTTAATCCTGTTTCTGGTTTGGCAGGTCACCTTGGCTGCCCTGGGAGAAATGTTTCAAGCTGCTAGGAGTATTATGGGTTGGCTTGGGGACTGTGCAAAGGTAGGTCTCTTCTTTTCATTTCTTCTTCTTTTTTTTTTCATGTTTTAATCTCAGTTTCTTGGTATTTCTTTGCTGTGATTCCTTTGGTCATCAAGAACTTGGGAGAGCAATTGCCTCTTGCTCAAACATATTATTGACTAGATCCTAAATGGCATGAAGGTTGAAAATGAGGTTTAAAGCAAAAGAAACATGTGATTAAGATTGGCTCTTTGACAATCTAGCATCCAATTTCATAATTTAAGTTGCATAATTGCTTAGGCTTCATGATTTTACGTCCTCTGGTGTTAATTTGAGATTTCACCAGGTTTACTATGGGGCAATTTTGGGTTTTGATGTGTTGACTTCCTTTGTAGGTTGGAAATACACATGCAATATAGGTGCCTGAGTTTTCAAGTTTATTGAAACTTTGGATAACTTCTTGATGAAGTAGGTTAGATTTATTTCTTGTCTCTAATGAAGTGCTTTGGGCATCTTCAGATAAAATTAAAGGAATTCATATCAATGTCCTGTTTATTCCTCTCTATTGTTATTGCACTTAGATGGGCCTCTTGCCTCAAATTATTGCTTGGCAAATAGGTCTCTTCATATGTCTTGTAGCTTATCATCCATCCCAGTTTTTAACTCTTTGTTTTGGGGAGGGGTTGGGGGAGGGGGGGGGGGGGGGGGGGGGGTTAGGTTGGGTTAAATTTTGGCTTACTATCACCATTGTCCATGTTGTCATGTGCCATCATGCTTCTAGAAATGCTGAAAGATT